GTTGTGACGAGGGTTGCCAACAGAAGATAAACACAAACAATAACAGGTTTCCAGTTAGCATCCACGTTTTTCTCCAAGTTGGACACACGGAACATAATAAAACAACTGAAGCATGGATGTCAGGTCATATCTGAGATCCGAGTGGGGGACAGCTGGATAATCGAACACACCGTTAATTCCAGAATTGCCCTGATTACAGACATGTGTTTCTGATAACAAACACCTGTCAACAGGGGCGGAGTTTAAAGTGTGGACACCTGTCAGACCAATCACACCGTTCTTTATATGGCCAGACCCCGCCCATCCTCCCTCCTTGTGTGGTTGTGGTTGGAGTTTAGATGTTTAGTCCAACTTAAATGAAATATCCTTAACTAATGATTAAGGGGGAAAACATTTTAAAGCTTACTAAAGTTTCTGCATAATACATCTCATAAGACTGGGTATCATGAAGAAGTTGCCGACCTAGTCCTACAACACTACTAAAAGTCTACTACGTCTACTAAGTTTGTGCAAAGTTAATACGAAAATCACCCATTTTACTCATCAAAACAGTTAAAATGTCAACACAATAGTAGCTCTTACACAAAATAATTAAGTAAAATATACCTAAAAATACTCTGGGTGATATATCGATACAGAAAAATCAAATTGAACAATATGATACATTATTAATTCAATATGTTTGCACACCCATTATTCCCTTAGTCCACATCTTTATACATGGTTTAACTCTAGTGTTTTTTCTGTGCTGCCACTAAAACGGTGATGAATGAGTTCTTAAATGACGGAAAAGCTGAAAATAATGAGACGTTTCAGCCTCGCGCGCCTGTATTTCTGTCACAGTCATTTTTAAATCAGCTGACACTGGTCTCAGGTCACCGTTACCTTTTACTCTTGGGTCAAATACAGTTTAAGCGCTCTGTCATTACATTCCAAAAACAAGCAGATCTGGTGCCCTCCGCCTAACCCCCCGTGCCACCTCGCCCCCCCCCCCTGCTCCGCCATCACAGCGCTCAGTGTGCGCAGAGGAAATGGAAGTCTGGCTGACCCGGCCTGAACCAGGGGAATGTTCTGGAAGCTCATCAAGCATCGGGAATCCTCAGGTGGGTCACTCCCGGAGCAGGCCCCAGAACAGGCCCCGTTACAGCCTCCCCACACTCCCCCTCCCTCCCCCTGTCCCATCTGAGAGCGGCTTACGCAAGCGAACCAGGTCACAGTCAAATTTCGGTTCAGTTTCGGTTCAATCACAAAACTCGTTAGAAATTTCAATTCAGATATTTGTCCAAAAAAGGTCAACCCTGGCATTAATTCAACACTAAAAGAATGTATGGATTTGTGTTTGCCGTCAGTGCATGGGACTAAATTATTGTGGAAAAATTTTAAATATTCTAGAACATTTTCTGAAGACTGCAACTGCCATGAACTCCTACAACACAAAGTGAAAATGTGGCAAAAGGACACAAGCGATGTTTCAGAAATACAAAAATGTTAACTGAATATCTGGATTTGCATTTTTAAATCTTTGAGGCAGTACAATAAAAATTATTTTCTGTGTAACTGCTCTTTTTATTCTGTAAACATCATATTTATTTTCCTCAGGGCTTCATATATGCTGAATGGACTCCTTGAAATGTGTCAGTGCAGTGAAGACTGCAGTGAGCACTACACAGGACAAACGAAACAGCCACTTCACAAGAGGGTGAACCAACACAGAGGAGAGAGCAACACAGGACCTCAGTCTGCTGTACATGTCCACCTAAAAACCTCAGGTCACTCCTTTGAGGACAGTGAAGTACAGATCTGAACCAGAGAAAAGAATTGGTTTGAGAGGAGAGTCAAAAAAGTATTTTTGTTAAGAAAGAGAATCCTTCCTTGAACAGAAATGCAGGTCTCAGACATCTTCTGTCTCCCATCTACACCTCCATCCCCAAACCTAAAACAAAGAAATCAATAAAGATTGTTAGTTTCAGAGTAGTTTCAGTATAGTTAGGTTCTCCCCACAGGCAGATATAAGGAAGTGTCCTCCAGCGTCTGACCAGAACTGAAGAAGCAGCTTGGATGAGCTGCAAAACCTTTTCAACCTAAATAAACGTTTGTTCAATTGAGAAATTGAATTTCTCCTTTGCCAGTTAAAATTTCAATTGTTTTGGCCTAATGTAATCTCCTGTGTAGATTCTCTGGATGCAGAAGTCGGTCTGGGTCATCTCTAGTACAGCATGGTAAATGGTCACATTTTTCTATAGCACTTTTCCACCTTCAAGGCACTCAAAGAGCTTTACAACAAGGAACCACTCACCCATTCACACACCAGTGTACACAGACACTGTGGGTTAAGTGTCTTGCCCAAGGACACAATGACAGCATTCGAACTGCCAACCTTCACATCAGTGGGCGAATGTTCTACCAACTGAGCTACTGCCGCCTGACCTCAGTGTTTAGGCTGCAGGTGTGAAGGGCATGCCGGGGCATACGTCTGGAACCCTGCTCACTAGGGATGTAACAATAATCGATATTGTAATATTGTATCGTCAAAAGTGTCACAATAATATAATTTATATAGTCTCTTTATATAATGTATATAGACAACTACTTTTTGCTTCAAGTCAGTGTTATGGTGCAGCAATAGTAAAAAGAAAAAATAAATAAATAAACAGGGGGAACTACATAGACCATAATGCTTTGCTATGTTTAATTGCAGACTACATGAAGAGATGTTGTTAATAAGTTTTAGTTCTTTGAAAGATGACAGAACCAAGTCTTGTAAAGGCATTTAAAAAAGAAAAAGTAGTATATTCACATATTGTTAACCTTCACAAAATATTGCAATAAATATCGTGAGATGCATTGTGACAAAGTGGGTCTTTGTCTCATTTTAAGTTCACATTAGTTTATGTTAAACTAAGGAAAGGGGACTTGCTTTGCTTTGAAAGTTACCTGGATGCTCACCTGGGGGAGGCACTTCCTGCTGGGCGGAGTATAAAAGCAAAGCAGGTGTCACCAAGTAGGGAGAGACTTCTGTGCAGGTGTTTGGTGTTTATGCTTTGAGTTACTCATTTTTTGTCTATTTGTTGGTCAACTCCAGAAGTGTTTTAAAAATACATTTTGTTTAAGTAAAGACACTTTTTTTTTTGTTGCATCTGCCTCCTACTTTGACCACTTTGGCCAGCTTCCCCACTTGCATATCGTGAAAATATCGTACCGAGAGTTGGATATCGTTACATCTCTACTGCTCACACTCCTCCGACCAATCTGCCTCACCACACTGGGCTCCCACAGCGCTTCCATTAGCACCAAGTCAACACACAACACACTGGAAAAGTCTAGATGAACGTTCTTTAATATAAAACATGGGCCTTATCAAGAATAAGTCATTTCATACAGTGTGCCTCATGGAGACATTTACAGCTAATATATGTGCAGACTGTACAAACGGGATTATGAACACAGCAGGTGAGGGCCGCGGGGCTTTACGAAACATGATCCAAACTAAACAAAGTGTCCCTTTAAAGTGATACTGCCCCGAGCGCAAAGTGACGTGAACGATCCTTGGATATGTCGACGTGAACTCCTCCACGTGTTCATTTACAGAGACTTTTTTACTGCTTTCTCGACATCAAGACAAGCCTAAATAGAACACCTGCTAGACTATTTGTATCGCCCCGAATTACATAAACTGTGATTTAGTTTAAAGTGAACAAAATCTACAGAAATGTGCATCAAACTAAATTCATGTGCAGTGGAGAAACAAAAACAGACACACATTAAACAGGATTACTCTGAGGGGAACATAACAGATCGGAAATTTAAGAAAAACCCAATAAAGTTTTGATTGATTTTATGGTACAGTCATATGGAAAACTAAACGTACATTGCGCAGTTGATGCTCAAACCTTCTCCCCATTCATGTTTCTATAAAATGTCTGTACATACAAAACAGAGCTTTAAGTTAGTAAAATCAATTTCATAATCATTTTAAAATCTAATAAAAATGAGACTTCCTGAATTTGAGTGCCACATCATTTGCAACAATTCATGTCATTACTATAAAGGTGCACTGTGTAACTTTTCTGGTGAAGGGTGTGCAATGTGCTTGGTAATACTTTGCCTGGAATGTTCCAAATTATGGCATTAAGCATATCTGTTTAATTCAAGTTATTTTTAATGCTAGAAAATACATCGAAAAACAAGCTTTCTTATTGTGCGGGGCCTCGCTTTTCCACAGATCTGACTCGTGGTGTGACCTAGCAGCGTCATCTACTTGTTCCGTGGAAATAGTTTAGTCAAAAATATATTACTTTGTCTTAAATAGAAACAGTCAGTGCTGTTTTTTGTACCTGACAATATTCAGTTCGGAAGTATTTTCATTGTTTCCGTTTAAAGGTGCACTATGTAACTTTTTGGTTGGGAGTCCATCGTCTTCTTGTTTCTATGGACAGTGTTGGGTAGTAACAGATTACATGTACCGGAGTTACATAATCAGAGTACAAATTATGAGTAACTGTATTCAGTTGCAGTTACTGTTTCAGTGAGTGGTAATTAGATTACAGTTACTTTGTTGAAATAAATGGATTATACGGCAGTATTTTCCTGTTTTCACATTTTGGGCTATATCCCCCTTTTTTTCTTTTTTTCCCCGGTAATTCCACTCATTGCCAGAAACTAAACCAGGTCTAAACTAGATCTTAACCAGGTCTAAATCAGGACTAAAACCAGGTCTAAATTAGGTCTAAACCAGGTCTAAAACAGATCTAAAACCAGGACTAAATCAGGACTAAAACCAGGTCTAAACCAGGACTAAACCAGGCCTAAACCAGGCCTAAACCAGGCCTAAACCAGGCCTAAACCAGGCCTAAACCAGGCCTAAAACAGGACTAAAACAGGACTAAAACAGGACTAAAACAGGACTAAAAGCTGCTAAAACAGGACTAAACCAGGACTAAAAGTGGACTAAAACAGGACTTCTCCTCTCTCTATAAAACAGGACTAAATCATGCTGCGCGGACGTGTCTTCTCCTCTTCTATCAATAATATTTTTAATACGGTTAAGTAAAGTCTGGGCTTTTTATTTTCTTTTAGCAGATAAAACATCTTATGTTACGATATCCTAGTCTTTGCTTCTCTACAGTAAATCAAGTAATCCAAAGTATTCAGATTACATTACTCACCTTAAGTATTTTAATGGATTCCATTACAAACTACATTTTGGGGTATGTAATCTGTAATCTGTAGGTGAATACATTTTAAAAGTCACCTTCCCAACACTGTCTATGGATATGTCACTGCTCTACTTTGAATGTTCCACATTATGACATTAAACAGCTCTATCTTACTAAGCCAAAGATGTTTTGTCTTCGTATGTACATGAACTTTTTGGGTTCTTTTTAAAGATGATACAGTAAAGTGTATTTAACTTGTTGACATGTTTCGGCTGCTGCTGCATCTTCAAAACTGTGCCCCGTGTTGGTGGTGACGTGGCGGGTGTTCTCTGGTGGGTGTTCTCTGGTGGGTGTTCTCTGGTGGTGTTTCTCTGGTGGGTGTTCTCTGGTGGGCGTTCTCTGGGCGACAGGAGGCGTGGTCAGTCTGAGCGACCTGCCGGGTCCATCAGGCTGACCACGCCCACAGGAAATAACAACAGCTGATACACGTCACCACCAACACCGAGGACAGTTCTGAAGATGCAGCCGAAACCCAACCCAAGAACCCAAGAAGTTAAAGCTCTACTTTACATTTACTCAGTTACAGGTGGTTTTATTTCTCAAAAACACCTAAGAAAACATGGTCAACTCTCCACAGATCTGACCAGTAACATGGGCTACATTCAGACTGCAGGGCTTAACGCTCAATTCCGATTTTTTTATGAAATCTGATGTTTTTGCGAGGTCGTTCACATTTCCAGTTAAATGTGACTTGTATGTGACTCCAGTGTGAACATTAAAAGCCCAAAAGTGTCCCGCATGTGCACTGGAGACACGACGACGTCAACCGCAGCGAGCGTCTCTGTGTTTACAGAAGTTGTCCAAACATGGACGCGAGCATTGAGCACCTGGAGATTTTAAAGTACCTTGTACTGGAGCCAGAACATGAACAACTTACTTGTTTTAAGGAGGAGGTTGAGAAGGAGAAGGATGAGGTTTTTGGCCGTGGTGTTTTGTGGGACAGCGGCAGCGACGTCCGTTGAAAGGAACGTGTGGATGTGTAGCCAAGAGTGGTGAGTGGTGATGTGCTTCACTTCAGTGACACAGAGTTCATTAACAATTTTCGCCTACTTCAGTCCAGAATAGTGACGTTTGTGTCTTGTTGATAACGTGTAGGTGGATGAATGAGCTTTGGCCGTTCACACTGAAGTCACATGTCAAAAGATCAGATATGTATCAGTTTCAGGAGCACATATCCAAGTGTCCTGGGTCGCATTTGAAAAAATCGGATCTGTGTCATTCAGACTGTCATTAAAAGATCAGATACAGGTCCCATAGGGGCCAAAAAATCGGATTTGGGTCACTTCAGGCTGCAGTGTGAATGCAACCTTGTTTGGTCTAGTTTGTTCTTCATGGTGATAGAAGACAAACATTTCAGACAAACCATGGAGAAAAGCATGTGGCAGACCCTTCACTAGAAAAAAATTACACAACGCATCTTTAAGACTTGTGGTATGTTACAAAAAGCTCTGGTTAAGAGGCTCGCCATTCCACAGATCTGACTTGTAGCGTGACCTACTTACTCCACGAGAACAGACAGTTTCATGCCATACTGCTGAACATTCCAAACGAAGCAATAACATCTCCATGGAGACAAGCAAGTAGAAAAGTTACACGGTGTACCTTTAATACAAAACGAAACCTCGTAGTGCACAGGCCGGGCTACAAAATTATGAAACAGTGAGACATGACACAGTTCGGCTGGAGTCTCACGTTAGCTATAAACTCATAACTCATAAAGATCCAACGGCTACTTAGTATTTCTCGAAAGTGGGATCTAGAGCGAATGACCGGTCTCTATTAGCGACCACTCCCTCATAAAACACTATTGTGAACTTTTTCTCCTGGCCACCGCTTCGGAGGGACTTTTACGAGTTATGCTGGGCACTTCAACTTGCAGAGGTGGGTAGTACTTGAGTAACTTTTTAAAGAAATTGTACTTTTTTTTAGCAGAACACTTTTACTCCAACTTGACTTTTTCCACGGTGAGTCAGTCTACAAGTCACAAAACCTTAATGTTGACTTTATGTTTCTTATTCTGCTTTTTTAGATGTAATTTAGTATTTTTCTTTTTTGTTTCTATCCTTGAAAATACCTGATTTTGCGAATTAATTAAAAGTGCATTGTGTATTTTTTCTGGTGAAGGGTCCATCAAATATTTTCTCCGTAAGGATGTTTTGCTTTGTCTGGAATGTTCCACAGTATGGCATTAAACCTTTCTATCGTCATGGAGACCAAACCTGAGCAAGTTACAGGTCAGATCTGTGGAGAGGCGATGCCGCTCACAGTCAGAATGTTTGTTTTTGTAGGTATTTTGAGCAATAAAACCACTTGTACGTAAAGTAGAGATGTTTAAAATCATACTACGGAACATTCCAGGCAGAGCAATGGCGTATCCATAGAAACAAACAAGTGATGGACCCCCAACCAAAAAGTTACATAGTCCACCTTTAATGTTTTGTCCTTGAAATTACCTCAACTCCAACTTATAAACTTCCTGACACTTACATTTTACGTTTTCCCAAATACTTTTCTACTCTCACTTAAACTACTGCTTTGCACTTCAGTAATATTATTCTGAAACAACGTTACTCTTACTTGAGTACAATTTTTGGCTACTCTACCCACATCTGCAGAATCAAAACTCGATGAGATGAACTGAAAACACTGCAGCAGAGCGAGCTTGTGTCAAACGCCACTACAGAGGAAGAGATCTAAAAAAACGATTCAAAAATATATTAATTTGTCTTAAATAGAAACAGTCAATGCCCTTTTTTATTTGTACCTGACGATATTTAGTTTGGAAGACCAAGTTTGGAAGTTAGAGTGATTTCATTGCTGCCCGTTTTCCCTTTAAGACTTGTGTTATGTTACAGAGAAGAAATCGATCAATCCCCCTTTGGTTTCTAGTGGTCTGAACGCATAAACACAACTTGGCGTCACAGTGAAAGTTCTGGCACAGTCATCGTCCATACTTTGACAGTCCAGGCCGGTTCCACTTTGTACTACTGACTAAACAAATCCAGATTCTGACCCGGGAAGTCCCAGATCTGAACCAGGACTAACCAATGATCCGGTCTACAGTTTGTCTATTCCCTTTAGTCGGACGGCGTAGTGATGCGAGTCCAGATCCTGCGTACAGTTTTGTCGTTAAGGGTTTGCGGGGTTCAGGAGTGAGTCCAGCTGACGGGGACCCAGTGCTCTTCGGTCTCGATGCGCTGCAGAGCCAGACGCAGCTCGCTGAAGGCGGCGGAGAGGTCGTCGTTCACGATCACCTTCTCAAACAGGTGTCCGTACTGGGCCTCCATGAGCTGGGCGGTCTGGACCATCTCCTGGAAGTCATCCTCCTGCACAGAACAAAAAAAAAACCACAGTGTTAGATATGTGCTAAAACGCGTTATCGCAAAGAAATTATATTGTATTAGTTTAAAGGTGCATTGTGTACATTTTCTGGTGGAGGGAATGTTCCACAGTATGAGGTTAAACCAAGGGTCGGCAAACTAAGGCCCAGGGGTCATATGCAGCCCTTTAATATTTTCAGTTCAGCGTCAAACTTGATTTCAATTTTCAATGTTTTAAAAGTAATTTCAATAAAGAGTAAATACTGTGGGAGTTGAAAGACAGATATTTTGTTGTAATGCTTTGTAATGATATTTCAATAACATGGGATATTTTTTTTTCTCTTATGAGGTGGATTACCAAAAAACTCCATCCATCTGCTCCTGGTCCGGTCCTTCTGTCAAATTTTAGAACCTTCGTGGCCCACGAGTCAAAAAGTTTGCCCACCCCCGGGTTAAAAAGATCTACCATATATTTTCTCAATTACAGTGGTTTTATTTCTCAAAAAGTAGTAGTAGTAGTTTTTTATTCGGACATTTTGCAGCACTCTAAAGCAAAACAAAACAAAACTTACACTACGACCACATGGATCAGGACTGAAAGAATTTAGGCTGAAGTAAAAAGTACTTCTAACGCCAAACCCTTTTAAACAATGACAGAATTCCAAGAAAGAAAAGCAGCATATGAACAGCAAGTTTGTGTTTACAATTTCACTTACGACTTACTGTATATATAAGAGACAAAATATAAATTAAAACAAACTAAATTTGATGCAAAATTAATTAATTCCAGGGCTCTATATCTTTCAAAACATAATGCTTTATACTGTTTTTTTAAAGGCTTCTACAATGTTAGACTTTTAAAAAAAAATCATCACTCAGATTGTTCCATAAACTAACCCTTCGAACACAAATATCACTTTAATCACTTTTTTTTAATCTTCATTTTCTAAAGATGCCAGTTTTGTTTTCATATATGGTCGTACAAACTAATAATAATGATTAAAAAAGGCACAAAATTTATTGTTTATGATTGTATCAAAATAAAAGGTAATGTTAAAGAAAAGCATGTGTTTAGTTCATAGTCGTGACAATATCTTCTAGGTATTTCTGTAAGAGATTTGATAATTATATTGTTTTTTGAAGTGCACCAAGTTACTGCAAGCTTTGGTATGGTCATCTAAACTATTTTTCAGAGTGGTTCCATTGTTTGTTCAGGTTGTATTTGAATCAATTTGTGCAGAACAGTTTTTGAAGGTTTTCTGGAAGCAGGTTGAGTTTCATACAATTTTACCAGGTCCCCACAAATACCCAGAAAAACTGTCATTCTGACGTTGCCTCTCAACAGATCTGACCTGTAACTTGGTCTGTTTGGTCTCCATGAAGATGTAAACATTTAATACGACACTGTGAAATATTCAAGACAAAGCAAAAACATTACTGTGGAGAAAAGCATTTGACAGACTCTCCACAGAAAAGTTACACAATGCAGCTTTAATAGTCCATATTAAGCTTTGGATCTATGTCCTAATGTTTCCTCATCACAAACAGACCTGGACCAAACAGACCAAATAATAAACTCTGTTCCACCTTGTGATGTCACGTGTAATCCAGGAAGTGCTCCACTGTGTTTTTAAAATCTATACACCTTCCACTAAGGATCATTTGGATAATTTCAACCTTGGAATTTCCAATCTGTACTTATTACATAGAGTTATTACCGTATTTTCCGGGCTATTAGGCGCTCTGGATTATAAGGCGCTCTGTCATTAAATGGTCTATTTTCAAACTTTTTTCACAAATAAACCGCACTGGACTTTAAAGGAAACACAACAGTTGGATGGGTCAGTTGGACTTTGTTTGTGGCGTTCACTTTGACTCTGGGCTTTGTTCAGTTGTGGCGTGTAGGGAGGGTGCTGTCTGGGACCAACGGATTGTCGGCGTGTTCACAGTGACTCAGTTGTTACAAAAGGTGGACCAAAACCAAATTTCTGGTCAGAATCACCAACTACCTGGACAAATATTCACTTGGGTGATATCCACAATGACTTGGTGGAAACTCCTGGGCCATTCACAGCAGAAAAGATGAAAACCTCCAAGAGTCTCGATGTGTTGTTGAACTTGTTGGAGTCCACAGTTTGCCAGGATCTTCTACGTTTGCTCTGTGGATGTTTGAAAGCCGTTTAATTCACCGTTAGCGGTTCTTTTCACTCAGAATACGAAAAAGACATTTTCCTTCTTTCGTGCTTCTATTTGTGCATCTGATAATGCAGCAGGAATTTACCATTATCGGGGATAAACATGCGAGGTTACGCATTGTGTTTGACCGCTACCGTGTTTCTTGCCTCCGACCAAAATATTTCCCAGCATGCAACACGGGCTTTTAATAACAATGACATCAGCTGAAACTTGCCTACAGGGCACTCTGGACTGTGGGGCACGCAGTCGTTTTTTGATGGGGTTGGAGGCTTAAGGGCGCGTCTAATAGCCCGGAAAATACTGTACTTTAAAACTACCACTACATGACATCACAAGGTGGAGCGGAGCATTCTGAGCTTTGGAGATGTAGACAGACTAAAAACAAAGGATTACTCAAACATGTGTGAATGAAACAAAACACAGCAACAATGTTATAACATGCCTTAAAGCTCACAGAGTCAATGTTGCATAATATAGACCCTTTAACTAAGATAGTGTTAAGTGTTTCTTCCTTTTATGATATTTACAAATAAACTAAACTAAAAGAATATTCTGAATGGGTTAATTTAGTATCCATTGTTTTGTACTGCATACTTATGATACTTCTGATTCTACTGATGTGTTTACTTTTGTGTTCCAACACTGAAATTTCCCCCACTGTGGTACAAATAACGGTTCCCTTATATTAATTTGCTCAAATACTATTATGTCAAGAATATATTGTTCTGCAAATCTGATTTTGATTTAATTTCACGGTCATATCGGTGAACATTCATGACAAGCAGGGGTTTGTAGACATGCCCTGTTCTAATGACTTGAGACTAGAACGGATAAAATGGACTAAGACAATATTTTTAATATTTTCAAAATGTCGTAAGAGTCTCGGTCCTGCTTTAAAAATACTTATGCTTCTCCACAGAAAATATTACGCTATTGGAGAGGTTGTACTTTAGTTTTCTTCTTTATAAAACACAAATTTCAGTGTGTAACAATTAATCCATACCACATATGGGGAGGCTTATATGGTACTGCAGATTTTTTGTTTTATTGTAACACAAAGTTCTGGCATATTTAGCCTCTAATTAACCATCAAACAAATGCTTTAGGACCAAGAGGAGAGACACTTTTGTCCTGAGGGCTACTACTCTCCTCAAACTGTCCTAAGACTGAATCTGAAGACTCTACCTGTTGTTATAATAATAGAAAAATCTCAGTCTTTTGTTTGAGCTTTCTATTATTATTGTATTTTACTGCTCAGTTTGTTAAAATTGCCCCTTGAGAATAAATAAAGTGATTCTGATTTGATTCAATACTATATAAAAGTCTATAAAAAACTGTGTGAGACCTTCCACACTGTGAAACCTATACGTGTCCAGTGAGTACGTTGAAAAGCACGGCCTTGAGATGTACGTTAGACCATAGTGTGCGGCCGCAGTAAACAAGGGCAGACTCGGGTTCACATGGTGTAAACACAAATTACATGGCCTTGAACACACAAATAAACAGAGCGTCTATGCGAGGCGTCTGGAGCGTCCGTATCCCCACACATGAACCCTGCTCTCTGACCGACTCAAACGCCCGGGACCCAACGCCGACCTCAAGGAATTCTCATCATGTCCCGCTGCGAGGACACGCACTTATCCAATTCACAAGGAAAATAAAAGAGTTCTGAAAATAAGCACCGCGACTACACGTAACCATCATTTAGAGAGCGCACACATGTACAGAGCAGAGCTGTGCCAGTCTGGGCTTAAGTGTGACGGAGTGTACCAGAGCGGCTGTGTGAACCAGCTGAGGACTGCAACTATACAGCTCCATCCTCACTTAAACCCATTTGAACACACATACATTACTGACTACAGCCTTCTTTGACAAACTTTAACATGAAAACAATCCCTCTGCTTGATCATGTGTATTTTGGCCCACAGAAAAAAGTTTAAAAGTTTAAAGTAAAAAAGTTTAGGCAATCCTAATATAAATGTGTGAAAGAAATTCGAAAGTAGGAAAAACACAACCCTGTGAAGTAGGACTGGGAAGTTGCAGATATGATACATACCTCGATACGTAGGCCACGATACAATGCATATCTCGATACAGTGCACTTTCAGTTCGATATATTTCAAATCAATTCAATACAATACTGTTCAATAAAAAATAAAGGCTAAATCATGGCTGTGATACTAAAAGTCTTTGTTAAACCACTTCTTGTGCGAAGTTCATAGAAAACACAAACATTTTACTCATCAAAACAGCGAAAATGTCAAATGTGTTGCATAAATGAGTTTCCTTCCACTGAGCAAACAATAAAACTGTAGTTGTAACAAAATAATTTTGTAAAATATATCAAAAAATATATAATAGATAAGGCAGCCCATGATATCGATACTGTATTGTCACATTAAAAGGCCCATCTCATGCAAAATAACTCTTTTCACATTGTATCTTCTGCACATAAACAAACACAGTTTGGGTTTTGGAACATCCATGACACAATAGTTCTGAAATCTTACTGATTTCTTGGAGACAGTCACAGACCAGGAACTATGAAAGGCCGACTATTGCTCACCCCCCCGTCCGTCCTGAGAAAGCACAGGCTCCGCCCTCCAAACGTGACGTAGGCTCTGAGTGAGCCGCCCTTCCTCCGCCATCTCAGGGAGGGAGGGGGAGACAGACGTGCACCCTGATAGTGGTAGGAATAAACTTTTATTCATCATGGAGATACAGCGCGTTCAGCCGCATGTGTTGGACCTGGAATCGGACGAGGACTTTGAGGAGCACGAAGCTCAAGCACCGCGTCGACATCAGCTGAA